CTGTGGTGGTTACTTATTGTTAAATTGAGTAAGGTGATGACAATGATGTTACACAACGTTACCTTACTATTCCTTGTTCTTTCGCATGCAGACAGTAACTTGGATACCACACTAACCATGCTGGTCATATTACGCATGGGCCGTTGGAGTCTTTTATTCCATTTAGTAGGGGGAGTGTTGGGTGATTTTCCTGATGCTGTGGTTGCCAAGGCGAACAAACTTGGAGTTGAGAAATCAAGGCACTCTATAGCCACCACAATGAGACTGACCATTGAGTCAACAAAAACTATGTCCTGAAATTTAACAAAATCAAAGTCAATCAGCATGTGATAATCAAAACATCCAATATTGACCAAATACAGTCCAACAATCTCTTCCACAACCTCCAACTAATTATATCAAGAGAAGTTTTTCTTAGAGCAAAGCTCAGTTGTATAACAAATTACCTATAGACCTAAGCCAAGTATCTCCATTGACCGATTTCAAATCTAAATCAAGTTGCCACAATTTAAGAAATATTATAAGTTTTAAGTAAACTTTTAGACACGGCCTCCTTAACAAGCAGTTTTTATTTTTTAAATATTTTTACTATTTTTATTTTAGTTAGGTTGATAGTCGAGCAGGGTGGGTGGGGTGGCTGTAAATGACTGTATGATACTCGTGCATAATACTTTTCCTGACAGTCCAAAGAAGAATCATAATCTGCAATTCATCATTTCGGGACATAGAATAAATTTGCTGTAGAGATTATTCATAGTTTTATTTGAGCGATTCTGCTTCAAGTGACTGTTCAGTACAGATGGAAGACAATACAAACAGGCCGTCAGGACTCAGTCAAGGGTGACCCCAGCTGCTTAATAGCGGTGAAGGAAAAAAGTAATAAGGGGCAAAAAAAGTTTGGGACGTTGACAACCAACATTTAATAGGGTTAACACAGGGTTGTGCATGCCTAGTTCAGTGCCCCTCGCTACAGGTTCAACTGTAATATAAAACGAAGTAAAACTGTGGCCAAAATTAATTAAAATGGTCAGTTCTCTCTCAACAATACAAGGGAAAAAATATTATCATTGTCAATAACAACTTGAGTTTAGTTTAACAATACTGCTGTTCCACAAAATAAAATCCAAAACTTACCTTAGATTTCCAGTCGCCCTCTGCTGAAAGAATCTTTGAGCATAACTCTTCACAGCAAATGTTGGCTTCAGCTGTAGGCACAAGAGCAGCAGCCCGAGAAAAGGAACGGTACAGCTGGACCAAAGCTTTGCCCACCTCTTTGCTGAGAGCCTGCATATGAGGAAAACATGAAGACAAAGAAAATAGGAAAAAATCGTTCCAAGGAAACATGTCTTCAAATTTTCAAAACAATAATTAGCACTGTTGCTAGTGAACTAGCACAAGCATACCTGTGGCAAATTTGTATCCAAAAGATGTTTCACTGGAAATATTAGTGCCAAGTACAGAGTACTGAAGTCATGTTCCAAGGCATCTCCTTGATTGACATCATTTGTCTAAGATAAAAAAAAAATAGCAATTAGACTGTGAGCAAGAGATTTCTATCACGTGATAGTCAATGAGGGCAAGGCCCAAATCAACTTATCCCCATGGAAAAAATAATAATGATAACAATACTTTACTTACAGTGGGTAACACTGAAAAATTACAAACTGATAAACTTGTGCTCCTCTATATGATAAATAGACATAAACCATGGTGTGTTAAAAACCCCAACAGGCACAAGCAGGGCTCGACACCAACAGTAGCCCACTAGCCACAGACTAGTAGAAATTCAGTTTTGACTAGTGGTTTTCAATTTCCACTAGCCAGTTTGGCTAGTAAACAAACTGAAATTGTCATAACATCTGAAAACATCTAAGATGTCACTAGCCATTTGGCTAGTAAGTTGAAAAGTCAGCGTCAAGCCTTGAGGAGGCAGACCAGTTAGCTAATTCTACAAAGTGCAGCCAGGGATGTTCACAGTGAGGACAACCAAAAAAAAAATCCAGTGAGTGGCAGGGTGGAAAGCTTAAATATAGGACCACCAGCAGTGGTTTGAAAACAAGCCGGCAACAGCCAGAGTTCCTCCAGCTACTTGATTGCATGTCCCCGGCTACTCTGGTCATAACAGTCTGCTCATGACAAACAATCTCGGCGTTATCACAGCCACCCACTTTTCCAGAGTCGGCTGCCTACTTCAAAACATTTTGAAACCCCTACACCAGATTACAAGTCCAGCCCCCTCACCACTCAGTCACTTATTGCCAAACCTTTTGAATGTGTTCACTCAGGTGATTAACAACACAGCTCCACAGCCTCCAAAGAGTTTCTTTACCTGTGACAGCACTAAGAAAGTTTAAAGAAATTTTAAATATATCAAAGAGCATTATCAGGTCAACCTAAGAGTAAAATAAAAATAGATCTTTTAATGAAAATTGCTTATCAGTTTGAATTATGTTGATAAAAATATTATCAGACTTCTATATCACTTGGTCAGAACTTTACTCGAGGCTCACAGGATAACCTGTAAAATCCTGTTGATTTTCTATCTTTTTTTGGGCATTGTTTTTTCTCTTTTGCAAGCATCTCAGGACAATTAAATTTTAATCCCAGTTAGACTAATACATTGTAAAGATCATTTGGACCACAAATGCAGTTTTCACAAACCCCGTACAATATGTTTTGAGTATAGAAAAACAGAAAGCAGATAATTGTACGATATTCTTCTACTCCTTTCAATTATGTCTTTTAACGTTGTACAGTACCTTGTTCCTTTTTTAAGGAGATTTAAAACAGTCTGCAAAAAGAACAACTGTCCGGAGGCTGCTATCATTCCACAATCAACAAGATGTTCAAATGCCAAATGAAATCTGTAAATGAAGCATTACAGTATAGTAACTAATACTTACACAACCTACTTCAAAAACTTATGTACACAGTAAGCTTATGTGCCAACACCCCCTCTGTAGGCAATCCACAGGGGGGGGTGAGGAACTTGCGAGGTATGTTAAAGTTTCCTATTGATCTATGCATTACATGCATTTCCCCTCTTCTCTTTGTTTTCGCTACATAGTCTCCTCAGCATATAATTGTTGTGTACGTCTGATAAAAAAAGGAACCTCAAGATAAGTGTAATTGCCATGAAACACTGAGCCCTTTCAAATGAGGTACTATTCATTCATACCATTAAAATTGATTCATGAGAATTAATCTCAAACCTCTCCTCCTGCCAGATGCTTTCCAGTAATTGTGGAGTGAATAAAAGTTGAATAAGAAGAAGGGCCGGTGAGCCTTGTGGATTGTCTCTTGAATGAAGTGATGCCATGTGATGGCTCAAAACTTCAGCAGGCAGCTTGGATAAAGCTTCAAGCATTTTCTGTTGTGGAAAAATTAAAGTTGACAAATTCACTTAACAGTGTCACCATAATAGTATTATCGAGAGTGCTTCTTAAAGGAATGTTGCAATATCAAAACCAAAGGGAGGTAACTGCCGATGAAATGGAAAAAAAGAGGAAAGCACTCCAATCTCCAGCTGTTGTGGAGGAGTGATAAAAGAATTGGCATTAATTTAAATTTCCACCATCAAATAAACCATGTCATGAAAAATTAAATTCTCCACTATATTCATTCATAAAAATTTCACTATGGTGCTTACATCCAACAAGAAAGTAAATTAATTTATGGCAAAAGCTACTGAACAAGTAAAGAATGGAAGGTAACTAAAGACTACTGCCAAGAAGGTGTGTATATCTGACCATCAATAAAAATCATTAATTATAGTTATGACTGCAAAAAAACTCACAAGCACCAAAGAAGATGCCATAAGAGAACTGTCCACCAACTCCTGCATAACAGCAAGAAGTGGAAGTAAAAATTCTCCACACTCTGACAATGGACCTTTAAATGAAAAATTGAATGTTATTGTTGTACAGGAATGTACTAGTACACATATGTACATTCCAGAACATTCCACTGTTTACACTTAACTAATGAGTATAATAGTGCAGGTTAATTGATGATGTGTAATTATGTCCATATAAATGGAGCTCTTAACAAGAGCAAAATGTTCCAGAGCACATTAGGATCACTACAATTGACAGCACATAGAAATGGAGTTTGGATACGAAGCAGAGGATTAGTGGTACAATGATCACCCTGGGTGATTACTATAGAGCACACACCCCTGATCAGTTAGTCTCAGCTGTTTCAGTGTCTCTGCTTGACCAGTTTCAAGCTTAGAAGTTAATGCTTTCCCACCCCCACCACCCTTACTCGTCAATTTTAGTTTATTGATCACTAGCGCCAGCATCTTCTACTGCTGGTCATTAAACTGTGTTGCCCCAACATCGTAGTCTGTGCTTGATATTAATAGTAATTCAATAAACTTGTATGAGTACCTTTCTCTACGACTTTCTCAATTCTTTTGACAAGCAGGTTCCACACTTTGACACCCAAAGGTTCTTCAAAAAACAGAAAATACAAATACAGTAGAATAAATTGACCCTCTAAGTCACAGGAGTGAACAAAAAATTTATTTATCCTTTCAAAGCCAATACCTTTACAAGAAGAGAGAGGTTAGAAAACTCTCAACTGGGGGATATTCTTTGATTAAAGATCAAATTCTCTGATCTAAAATTATAGGGAATGTACGGCAAAAAGTAATGAGGTTTAATATCTAAATTTTTGAAGAGAT